CTTCCTCTTGCAGGAAAAGGGCTGATCAGTTGAAGCGCTGATGTAGTATTTGCTTTTTGCTCTCACACCTGGTGATGTCTCTGTTTTGTGCTTTTGATTTCCCTTGTTAATCTGAGTGTTTTTCATACTTGTTAATATTTTTATTCTCAGACTGGAGAACTACGTTCTCCTTCAGCACTCGTGTGTATGCGTGTTTGTATGTGTGTGTTTTTGCTCTTTTTTTTTTTAGTGTGCCAGCACTAAGACCGATTGGTTGTTCCTGGACACTTTAATAAACATTGATTGATTGATTGATTGATTATTATTATTATTACTATTTTTGTTTCTCGTTTTGTAGTGCCAGTTTGTTCGACCAGGTACGGTAAATGCACTCGGGATTACTACGTTCCGTGTATGTTCAACGCCCTCCCTGACACTTTCATTGACATTACATCACTGAAACAACTGAAGAAAGAACTCAAGTGCACCAACTTTGATTTCATCTAGCATCACTTTGCTGTCTCTGCAAGCTTCGAGCTTGAACTGCAATTAGCTAAGTTAATTTTAACTTAGTTTCGCCTTTTGTTTATTTTTTTTCCCCTTTTACTTCGTTTTCGCTTAACACTTTTCGTGTTTTTGTTTTTTTTTCTAAGTGCTTTTTGCTTCTTCTTTCGTGCTTCCTTTTTTTTTATTTTAACGTTTTTGGGTTTTTTTTTCTTGGTGTTTTTTTTTCTTTTTCATGCTTTTTTTGTGTTTTATAGTTCGACTTTCTGTCTTCCACTGTGGAATCATAATAATCGTCTTTTGAATTTTTTTTATGGGTGTCATCATACAAGCCCTCCGCAGGCTTTGATATGCCCGTATCTAGTACATGAATTCCAATTTGTGTGAAATAAATATTATTATTATTCTCGCATAACGAAGGAGTTCCAAAGCCCGTCCGCTTTTTTTACGCTGTATTGTTCCTTAGTTAGATCCCAGCTAGAGTACGCCTCGGTTGTTTGGAACGGCATTTCCAAAACTAACAGTTCATCTGTCGAGCGACTCCAAAACAAATTTATTTCTATCTTTAAATATCATTACCTTGAGAATGGTGATCCTTGTCTGAACGGTGTGTGTAACTCGCAACTTGTCAACTTGTTGAGCCTCCAGCAGCGTCGGGTGAAGGCAGATTTGTTGTTTTTGTTTAAAACCCTGCACGGCTCGATTAACTCTCCCAGCCTTCTGTCCGAAGTGAGCCTCAGAGTTCCACGTGTGCCTACACGGCTTCAATCATCTTTTTATATAGCTCGACATTTTAGCAACTTAAACCCGATCCAAAGATCGGCGGAGTGTTATAATCGCTACTCTGACACAATTGATATTTTTAACTCATGCGGGAGCAAGTTCGGAAATGCTGTTCAAATCTTCCTCTTGCAGGAAAAGAGCTGATCAGTTGAAGCGCTGATGTAGTATTTGCTTTTTGCTCTCACACCTGGTGATGTCTCTGTTTTGTGCTTTTGATTTCCCTTGTTAATCTGAGTGTCTTTCATACTTGTTAATATTTTTATTCTCAGACTGGAGAACTACGTTCTCCTTCTGCACTCGTGTGTATGCGTGTTTGTATGTGTGTGTTTTTGCTCATTTTTTTTTAGTGTGCCAGCACTAAGACCGATTGGTTGTTCCTGGACACTTTAATAAACATTGATTGATTGATTGATTGATTGATTATTATTATTATTGTATTTGTATTTGTATTTGTATTTGTATTTGTATTTCACAGACTCTGGAGAAACATCGTTTTGTCGTTATGTCAAGTTTTCTTGAGAAACACGCAGTAATATCGCCAAACCAATACTGTTTTGTCGCTGGTCGTGGTACCACCAATCTTCTAGAAACCTTTTCAGACTTCCTTCGCTCTTCTTTCGAACACAACATGTATGTGTGTGCACTCTTTATCGATGTCGCTAAAGCGTTTGATACAGTAGACCATGACATCCTCCTTGACAAGCTGTATACATTGGGATTTCGTGGCCCATTTCACGCACTGCTCAAATGTTTTCTTACAAATCGCACACAGGTTGTAGCGGTAGGCAATGTCCATAGTGCAACGGCCCTCCTAAGATCTGGAGTCCCTCAGGGTTCGATTTTGTCACCACTGTTATTTAACATATTTGTGAACGACATTTCATCATCCTTTACCAATTCAATAATGTTTCAGTACGCTGATGACTCTGTTTTGCTTTCTCGGCGTCTAGTGTACCAGCGTGCAGTGGAAATGCTCCAACTGGATGTAATTAGCGTCATGGACTGGTTTTCGGTAAACAAGCTTCGAGTAAATGCCTCTAAAACAAAGCTTATATGTTTCTGCAATCCCTTAAAGAATATAAGGTCGACCTATCCGCTATTTCTCCACAACTCCGGTTGCTTGTGTACTCACTGTGATCCCATAGAATATGTTAGTTCGATCAAATACCTAGGCATTTACTTTGATTGCGATCTTTCTTGGACTACTCATATGACGCATCTTTGTCAACGGCTGAGGTCAATGTCTTGTATGCTATACAACATAAAAATATTCCTACCTTTCTCCATCAGGAAAAGGGTTGTGCACGTTCTGGCCTACGGTATACTAAGGTGCGGGATCACAATTTTTTTTAATTGTCCACTCTTCTGGCATTCCAGAAATGACCGAATTCTAAACGCAATCCTCAAGAACGTCACGTATAACACACCATTTTCGTCAAACGCTCACTTGTTTGGTTCGCTTGAACTGCCCTCATTCCACTCTCTCTTTCTCCAAACGGTGATCTGGCGCCACTTCTGGGAGAGCGAATTTAAGGTCCCATCAGATTCGTCGCGGGAACTTAGGGCTACCTCTCGTTTCGACATACCACGAGTGAGAACGCGATATGGTGGACGTACGCGCGCTTTTTATGTGCCGAAAGTGTTCAATGATTTACCAGACTCAATATTTTCCATTACTTCAAACTAGAAATTAAAGAAAACTCTAAAAACAAAATTTTGAGACGTATCGCGGCAGTGACTGTGAGCTTCATATGATATCGGTGAAACGTTAACTATTCTGTTTGCGATATTATTTTCCTTTTCATTTCTGAATTTCGTTCTGAAGTAGATTGTTGTTTTATCTGCATCATCGTGAGGCCCTAGGACCTCTGCGAGTTTGCCCAGTGATTTTTTTTTATTTTTTTTTTCGGTGGTGCTCTTTTTCTTTTTAGTGCCCTAGACTATTTGTAACTACAGTCTTGGTCTGTTCGTCCCGACGTTCTGCTTCGCCTTTCTTCAATACGGACGTACAAGTGTACGTGTGTGTCTGTGTGTGTGTGCGCCGATGAGTGCCGTTTCTTTTATTTAGTGCTCCGACTGATCTGCTGGCCCAGCGGCTAACTGCGTTCGTCCTGCGGGAGCAATGACAATTTTTTGTGTTATTTTCTTTTTTTTTTTTTTTTTTACATACTGTGTGACAATATCCGAGCTCGCCCTTTGATTCTTCTCTTGCTGGATCTCGTCCCACAAGCCCTTGCCGGCTTTGACCAGGTCCGAAGCTGAACTTGGTAATTCTTCTCTCGTGAATAAATATTATTATTATTAGTATTATTATTATTATTATTATTATTATTATTATTATTATTATTATTTGTTTGGGTACTTTCTTTTTGATGCACATGCATGAATCTGGTTATATTTCTCTTGAGCCTTGCTCTCTTCGGTGCCTGAGAGTTATGGCAATGCTATGCTAGGCAGCACACCAGAAAAACGCCCAACTTTGCTCAAGTCTGGCAATCGTAGGGACGTAACTTCGGCTGTATATATTTTTTTCTATGGGTTAGTTAGAGATGAAGTATATTTTTCTTTTTACAAGCTAAAGAAATATAACCGGATTCTGGATGTCTTTTTGGGTTGCCACATGAGTATCAAAGTAGTAGACATAAAACAAGGTAACACATCACAAACGAGAAACCTGCAGCGGGGCCTAATTTTAGCATTTTTGGGGGGAATTTAGGCCCAAGGGTGCCAGATGACACACGAGCAACCCGGCAGTAACGCCGCGGTGAAGCCTAGTTTTGCTACTATTGGGGCGATTGAGGCCGATAGATACCAGGTGACAACCGAACAACCCAGTGAGAAGCTAAGTTCAGTGTTTATTCCAGAACTGAGGCCCAAAATGCCAGGCCACAACCAAGCAACCAGGCAGTGAAACTTAGCTTTGGCAGTTGTTTGATAATTAAAGGCAAAACTGCACAGATGCTTACGAAAGATTCAGAAGTTTTTTTCCAGTCTTCGCACTCTTTTAAGCTTTTAGGGACCTAAATTGCCAGACAAAAACACACTTTATACCACAACATAATTATGTCTGGTATAAGATTTGCGTCATTGTGTTCATGCATGGGCCGTATATTTTGAATAAGCGGAAAGGTACTGCAAATAGCCTGTGAGGATAAACGTGTATGAATTTCCAGAACGTGTAGGCACTGAGTTCTTTAATGTGGGTCATACCACGAGACGACTGTGGTTTCGCACAAATTGAACACGAGAAATATTCTTTCTCGCAAATTACCTTTAATGTAACAATGTAAATATTAAAACAGACGCTAAGCGCTCTCCCAAAGCAGTACAACGAACTTTAACTCGTGACCCTTCCCATAAAAAAAACAACAATACTATGATTGCTTTTTCAGGTTGCATGGAATTAATTTCGAGTACAACGGTACAGTTCAAAAAGCATCGGGGAAAGTTTCTCCATTGATCCGGCCCTCAGTACGTAAAACAATATTCTTGCAAAATCACTAGACAAACTTCTCGCAGCCGTATTATTGTTATCAAATTATGTGGTAAAACAATTTTTAAAAAAATGCGTTACTTTTTTTTCTTTCTTCTCAGTCCCGCAACCTACCGTCATTTCAACTGTGCTTCCCTACCTTCAGCTAAATTCGACCGAAGTGGCGTTTCAGCCCGGAAGGACTGGAAGCATCGTTAATTGGCTGTTCGAAGGTAACGCTTTAAACCGCCTGACGCCTCACCGTGCAGAACACCCAGAAAACAGGAGATGAAGGCCACGTTGGGGGCGAAGTAGCAGATCCCGATGCCGAAACTGGCAACAGAGGTGCAAACCAGCAAGACTCGCTGACAGGACCACAGCTCGCACATAGGGCCCAGCAAGATCGCTGCAAGGAGCAACACGCTTCACAAAATTGGCTCTAAAAAATCACAAAAAACTGGATTGCTTCACGCGATCGTTCAAGCTCTTTCTGCACGGGTATTCCAGAGATAAGGCTGACTGACGTTGGGTCTGAATGTCTACCCGAGTCTTTTGAATGTCCTCGCCAGGTTGTTTTTGTGCACCAAAGTTGGGAAAAGTGGCGGGTACAGAAACCCTCCATTCGTTGTCACAATGTTTATGTAATGTTAGCGGATTTTTTTTTCCTCTTTGCAATAAGTTCCTGGTCTTAACTAGCAATTTGCATCACTGACACTTTGCGACCAATCATCATGCGCTTTTTATAACTTATTTTGACCTTACGAGGTACTCTTACAGGAACTAGGAGTCACCATGATCACTTTATAGGTCGGAAAAAGTGTGTCACGTGGATTGCTGCTCCCAGCGTCGCTTCACACAACTGGTGGGTCACGGGACTCTCTCATAGCTATGAATTGACTCCACTGGTTCTTAGCGGCTTTTTCAGTTAATCTTATGGTGAAACGGAATACAGCTTTTCTACCTTGCAGAAAATTATGTACGTACTTACCTCCCAGGAATCTTGCCGACATGCTAAGTGTCACAGGCACCGAAGCAACTTCGCGGGTGACGTGAAAGTAGTCCAGTATTGCTACGCAGAAGACTCCCGAAGACCGGATGGCCATCGTTGATATGAACTCCACCCAGAACGCAAGTGCCAGCACTGCCCAGCTTCGAGCGGAATCCTGGCCATGCCACGCATGTTTCTTGAATGTATACATGTCTTCTGCGTAAACCAAAATATTTATATATATTTTTATTGTGAAAAGACAAGTCATTTTGTTACTCCTGTTTGGTGACAGGTTAAGAGCCTAATCCTGTAGATGCCCCGCCGGCTTCTGGATGCGCGTGCAATTAAGTGTTATCAGTGGCAGAAGGCTCTTGCTCAAGGTGGGACGTCTACATGTTACGCAGACTGTGAGCGAGTATAGTTTGTTAGTATCACTTAAATTACCATCTATTAAGAAAAGTTGTGATTCTTCCAGTTTGCAATAAACATATTGTTCTCCACCAAGATAAGAGTTCCTATCGTAAGCATTAGCAAAAACACAACCTTCTTGCCCATTTTGGCAACCTCAGGAGGGCAGAACATAGAGGCTTCTACTTGGGATGATGGTGGGACGAGAATAATAGCGCCATTCCATAATCCCCCCCCCCCCCCACACACACACACACACAAAACAAAATCACGTTGAACTACCCTTGCGAAGTCATTGCATTGTTCATTGTAGATGTATTAACAAAATAGAACACAGCCGGCAAGTGCTCTATAAACGAAAAAAAAAAAATATTTTACATTTTAAACGCGTCACGGCAAAATAGACCCGCCTAACCGTGCAGCTGCTTTTTTTTTTTTGTCCCCTTTACTGTCGCTTTATTAATGTTATTTCTCTTGGGATCATTAATGCCAGCTCTCGCGTCTGTTGCCAGTGCTTAGAAGCACAGGGTGGGGTGGCTCCCGACGATAATATTATAGCTCCGGAGCGAATAAGAACAAGCCATCGGTGAATCGTGAAAAACAAATCGTGAAGCAATAAGAGTGAATATTATAAGCCACGCTTTGCTTTTCTTAAACCGTCAGTAACTGTAGTCACTCAACATTTCCGCCTGTCTCGCCAGGAAGACGGGTAAATTGTATTAGGTACCACCTGAGTGAAGGAATCAATATAGCAAACGAAGTTGCTAAGAGTCTTTTATCCAATTCGATAGGTGAGTATATTACACATTTCGAAAAAATGCCAGGCATTTGCGTTGCATACGTGAAACGCTCTACCATCACAGACGTCTAGCGGTACTCCGAATTTCTTGACGCCAGGCGCCTACGTTCACGGCGCTCTTCATCACATAGTTTGACCCGTATCATGCGTGCACTTCATAGGTGTGTCTAGAATGAAGCGATACTAAAGCTAACCGGGCTGATAAACCTGGCGATCTTCCAAACCTTTAAATTCGCAAGCTCCTCTCCCTCAGCGCGCACTGGTGCTCGAGCGCCTCTTCGCCTTCCCTCACTGCTCCTCGCCTAGCCCTCTGGTCAGGCGACCTCCCCGTTCACCAATCAGCATTAAGCACCCACTCCTCCTCTCCCACCCGTCGACTAATCAGTATCGAGCTTCGCGGCCACGCTTGTATCTGGGCTTCACGAAATGCCGAACACCTAGCCAAAGAACGTTTCACGTTAATAGCACTTCAACTCACGGCGATGTGTCATGACATCCTAACAGAAAAAACCGAACCAAGACAATTCTAAATTGTCTTGGTTCGGTTCTTCTTGGAGCCAACGCTTTTTTACGGCGATGGCTTCTTCTTCCCCTTCAAAACCAATCAAGGTCAAGCCTCTGGGCCACGCTTTTATTTGGGCTTCACTTTTATCTGGACATTACAAAATACCGAACACCTATCCAAAGAAATTTCGCGGTAACAAATACAATATCCGTGTTTATAAAGGACATGTACAAATTAAACCACCGCCAACATGTAAAAAAATCGCTGCTTCATAGAAATTGTGAACAAAGTTAAACCACCGCCCTCACGGTAAAATAGTTACCGGCGTTGTCTTCAACGCGGTGGAAAATATTGCTTGCGTTCCTGAGCTGGAAGAACCCTGGAGGCCATGAGAATACGATCTAAAATAGTCTTACGCTTCATGATAAAAGCTCCGAGTTCTTCCAATTTAAGGTCTGCGTATAATTATCATTTGTAGTTCCTCCGTTTTTAATAAACCTATCCTATTTCCGAAGCAAAACCTCCGAAAAATTCGGCTGCCTGTCCTGTCCGCAAGTGTTATGTGCTTAGCCTTGCCCTGAGTTGACGTGGTTATTCTGGGCATTTTTATGTCAAACTTTCAACCTCTTACATCATCCCGTGGTCGCGTCTCTGCACCAAGTACAAATGATGAAGCGTGGATCGATGACGGTCGGCGGGGTTCGTGGATGGGCTCTGAGGATCCACGTTCCGTGGCAGACCCTCTGCTACCGGCACCATTTGTTCAGGCTACCTCGGCAACCGTAGTAGTCAGTCTCGTTTGTAACCGAATGGCGCTCTTCCTTAAGCAGATGTCAACCCATCCAGATACGGGGACCACTGCCTTTATCCTTCCCAACTTTAACGGCTTCTACGCTTTCGCCCGGAGAAGTCTCGCGTAAGTGTCAACGTTCCAATTTATTCGGACAATGGGGTGGAAACAAACGGTCGTCAGTATTTCTGTGGAATTTAGGTACTACCCGAAGGTTCCTGATATCTCTGAGGCCGAGCTACTTTCTTGTTTGATGCTTATAACTCCGGCCTGATGTGACAATGAACCGCTGTATTGACAATCGAAGACCAATTGCGTTTTTGTCGTTCAGCTATAGACCATTCCATTTAACGCTCTCTGGGCGGCACCATTTTGTTCGACCGCAGCGGCCTCTTCACACATCCGGGAAGTTCAGCGGGTTCGGCAAGGTAAAACGAGGGAGAGGGCAAGCGCCGAACTCCGCTAGCAGACGATAAACCGGGAGGTTGGCGTTCTCCATCTTTGGGCTCTATCGGCGGGCTCTACCGAACATCGAACTCGCGCTCGTGGCTGCCGTTGTGAAGTGGTTCGCGTTCTTAGAATAGTTGTGGCTACTCCAAAATCAGCCTATAGCTCTCTGTTGTTCTATTTTGCTAAATGATCAACTAGCATATCTTTTTTCCGTTACTTAAGTAGCAGTTGAGTCAGCCGGCAGTACTACCCTCAACTACTGCGTGTATTGCGGCAGGAGAGCACGTTTTATTTATTATTTCAGACTTCCATTCATGGTCGCTAAAGGCCTACATCAGTAGGAACTTTCTATAGTAAAAAAGGTGCAGCAACCGGATTTACTTTTCGCCAAAGAGACCGGCCAATCTGACACAGTTTTTGCTATTTTTTTTTATTTGCACGCAGGTAACAGCGCTATTGGACCCTGTGAGTCTTTTTATCTAACATAATATTACACAACTGGCATACCCAAATCTGCGCATCTGCGCTTGAAAGTTCCAAAATGACGCGATTTTAAACAGAGTTTGCACGCCAGCCGGACGCATACAACCCACTCGGCGGAGCGGACGACATGCGGGGTGAGAGGGGGAGTGCATTTTTTTTTTTTTTTTTTGCCCTCTCTGCTATGACCCTAATGGAACGGTCTATATCCAAGGTTCTAACGGACGGTAGCACCCACTTTCCAACTGCCCGTCAGCGTTTTGAGATGCGACAATCTTGGAGAGTTTGCTCGGTAACAGATATTTTCTGTTTCCGTTAAAGGCTTTCCGACATTCCATCATCATCTAGGAGACAACTCGAATCATGCCCCCGGTATGGGCCCAATGTTGCAGCGCTTAGCTGGTGCACGTTTGAGTGACCGATGGTGCTCCAATTCCGGATTGCGGTGGACAGTCTTGTGATACCTGCCAGCGAGGTAGAGGGGCTTAGAGCGATAAACTGGCGGCTGAAAGTGACCCCCACCCTGGCGCCGCCATGTTTCACATTTTTGACCACTAGACAGGTGACCTTTTAGATTTACGTCTAGATTTTATCGAAGTACCGCGCACAGATAATTGCTCCTTGAACTTTATTAATAGTACCGACGAGATAAGTTATGTTTCATTTTTTTGAAGTCCCAAATGTGCTTTTACGACAAAACACTCAGGCAGCTTCGTAATGGCTCCGCTAAATGCCGTCAGCCACGGAGATGTCTTTTTTTTCGTTTTTTTTTGTTTATCGGAGCTAGACACTTTCTTTGTGGCTAACAGTATTGAAAACTAGTTTATCATGTTTTTTTACAGCAATCCCCATACCAATCTTGGCTCCGTTAAAATTATACAACATGGCGACAGCCAGGGGGTTGGAGGGGGGGAGGGGGGGGGGGGTTCATTTTTGCACGGTGAACGGGATACCATGTTTATCGCTCTAAACCTCTCTACCTCGTTGGTGCTTGCATAGGTGATCGCACTCTCGGTGCAGACTCTGCTGAAGCAACCAACATTCGCTCCTGCTGGACTACGTGGCAACGTTCTAGGGGCACTAGAGGAGATGTCCCTAAGGACTTCAATGCTAGTGGCTCTCTTCAGTAGACGTGGTGCGAATTCATGGTGAAGAAGACCATCACGCCTTTGTAGCTTGCGGTCAATGAAATTGTATTATCTTGCATAATAAAACCAGATCAGTTTCAGTGGGCGCGCGTGTGTGTGCGTGCGTGCGTGTGTGTGTTTTGCAGTTTTTTTCCCGGTATACTGCTCCGTATAAGTGCTATTTTTGCGTCTCTGAAGACAGATAAAAGGTAAACGAAAAATCCTTGTCAGAATATATGACATACGGGTGCCCTGTTTGACAGAACCTCGGTCGGACACAAGCGCGTGGGGAGCCGAAGCTAGAGGAGCGAACATATTGCCCCTGACGACCTCAGTACTGCAGGACGTCACTCTAGGAGCTCCGCATTCTTACTTCCATCTTTTTTTTTCGCTCTTATTTGTGAATTGTCAAGGCGGCGAACGCACTCGCGCCATATCCAAGATTATCTCGTTTCGACTGTGATTTTTTTGAAAATGTGATAGCGGTATTGTCCGGCAAAGAACACGCAATGTGAAAGTGTGGCGAAAACTCGCTACACACTTGGCACGAGACACAATAACTAGAGGAGACACAGGGCTAGAGCTGGAAGCTGATATAACTGTCGTGTAATTGAGTTCACTTAGGCGTCAGCAGGTGTCTTGGGTGCCCTCCTGTTCCGTCTCGAATGTCGCACAACTATTGC